GTAACATATAATAATAAAGTATTCGTATTAGTATATGGTCTAAATCCATGCATCTACAATTATGTGATTTTTATTGACTGCAGATATATACTTTCTGTAGCCTAGCTTTCTGCTGCTACTATTGTTACGCTCAGTGAAATGAATGAGGTACCCCAAAAGGTGTAGTGATATTGCNCATTTAGGCCTCACTTTCTATCATTTTACGAATGTAAATAGTCTTCATGCCATTCACATTTGGTGATAAGAATCGCGTAGGAAAAACGACAGCCAGGTTATCAGTTCTGTAGAATTATCTCATCTTGAGCACTTCACGCAGGTCATAAGATTTCAACTCTTGTAAAATCGAAATTAAACCGATTTGCCCTATTAAAAGAACGTTAATGACATCCAAGATTGAGAAAACTAATGTAGGCACTTTTGCTTATAATTCTTAGAATTCCAGAGAGGTTTAAAATATCACAATAACTTCGCTTATGAAGTTAGAAAAGGCTTCGACTCCTATTCAGACAATCATTTTGGTTCATTGCAGCTGAATGCTATTTGTTTTAAATATCAAGAAAACGCGGAATTTATAATGCATGTAAAATGAAAAGAAAGTGGAGATGGGGTTAGGCTAAAATAAAATTTAACGTTTAAAATTCTTTGGTGGTCATTTTCATGACAAAGGGCTCGATCTTTCATTTTGAGTATTTATTTATATCAAATGGCAGGCGTCTTGATGGTTACCATTAGCCCTTTAGTTGACTTCAGGCTTCACAGAGAGGAGGAGGAACATCAAATTGAAAAAAAGTCGAGAGGGGGTGGGGAGGGAACAGAAGAGTGTTTCAAAGATGTAAGAGACAAACACAAAGGTAGAAAAAAGGTGAGGTGAGTACTGCGGAAATAGTCGAATATGGCATAGAGTGAGGTGATGGTAGTTTGAAGATTAGAAGTCAACTGCCAGTTAATAGACTTTTTGCCGTATGAATATACGTTGCCCAGGGTGCACCACGTGGAGGTAAGTCTATTGCACACCCCGTATACCAGCAGATATATATGCTTTATCCACTTTTTCCAATGTTTATGTATCTACGGTTCTTTTACTGAGAGAGAGGGAGAGAGGATGTATTGAATGAAATAACTGCTTACATGCCAGCGATTTCGTCCTTGTTTTTATTGCCTCTTCAAGTTGAATTCGCCAAAATATTGTTTCTATCTCATATGGTTTATTAAGGGTGGTAATCTGTTACCGGAGCAACGCTTTAGCTTACTTCCATTTAACAAAAAACAAAGGACAACACAAATTTCAGCCTGTTAATAAATTAGGAATAATGCAAACCGTAAAGCGATAGAACTTCCAAATTTTTACCGCCATTTCATATAAAGACGGTAGAATTATTCATTACTCATTTAATTTGTGATTTCCATATTCCACTGAATGATAGGCAAAGGTAGGTACTTTACTAATCGAATAAATTCAACCGAAGTGACTTAGAGATGTTAGCCCACATTCAATTGATCTTTATTTAAAATTTTTTATAACTATTGCAGTGAATAAAGACTTACATTACTTACTGATGCTACGTCAAATTTTCGAGCCCATTGATCCGTTTACCTTGAACAGCGTGAAACTGCTTAAGTAAAAAATTTGAAAAATTTTAACTTTGACAAATGCCAAATCGAATCAACTAAGGGTAAAAAGGTGATTGGAGAAGTTTTTGACTATCTTTAACCTGAAATCTCTAAGTTATCAGGAAAAACAGCAGGGGTCTCGCGAAATGCGACTTGAAGTCGTTCATATGAACAATTTTCAAGCGCTCTCGTTTACACAAATTAACCATGTTCTGGCCACGACTTAGGACTGTAATTTGAGTAGTCTTTTAATTGAACCTTTAGAAAGTTGGGTTTTTTTTAATATTTAATAATTGACAGTGCTCAATTATTAGTGGAAATTGATATTCCTTAAACGAGATGACATCAATAAACTCAAGTGAGCTTACTGAAGTCATCAATTTTTTCATTTGCTGATGATTTGAGAAATCACCTCAAATATTCCATCTTGTAAGTGTACCACAGTCATCATTTGTATGTCACTGTTTGATCGCATTTAAAATGTAACTTGAACCTGGCTTTTATTCTACAATTCCAGTCATAATGCAACTTGCTTTGGACTGGTGCCATAAATTCGTTCTGTAATGACACATTTATGTATGATGAATAGAATTAGTGGATAAAACTTCTATTTACATTGTAAAATTTAAGTTTCATCTAGTTACCTAACTGTGAAAATGTCGCCAGTTGGTCATTTCAAAATTTGAAATAATTCCAAGATTTTTTCCATTGTACTTGCTCTTTAGAACAGCTAAACTTACTAGGCAACCATTTAATACTCCTAAATTTAGATGAATTATTGTAAGCAATTAGCAATTGAGAAATTGACTTTGTGCTCAATGTCTTCCCATTAGTATAGAAAGAAGAAAGCAAGATGACTAAAACTGTCATCTATGCGCGGGTAATTTCATATTCAATGAAAGGATCTTTATCTTTATATACAGTCATTGTAAAATCTTTTAACGTAAGGTATTTCTTGATCCGAGTTACTGACCTCTTAGTATGATTTAACGAGATGCTATATCGAGAAAGTCGTGGTATTTCTGTACTTAAATTATTTATTTATTTACATATTTATTTCGTTTGTTGGTCTAAAATGGCAATGTAATTTTCTAATGGCTAAAATTGCGGAAATGAAAGCTGAATATTGCAAGGCCCGAAATTCGCTCTTGCTCATTCACGAACTCAAATAGCATTGATCAATTTTCAGGTAAGTCAGATTTCTTAAACAAAGGATATACTTGCAATAGATTTAGATTAAGTAGCTGGGCATATTTTCAAATTTTATTTCGATCTTGTTTTAACTATTTCCACAACATTCTCTGACCGTTAGAATGTTTTCTGTAAATAATCTTTCACAATAAACTAACCATTGGGTTTAAATTGTACCTAAGAGGGGTTATGAATGTAATATTTTAGTTATTTAATGAATAAGACCTTGTTTTTATTTTCCTTAGAAGATGAAGAGTTTTCCATCTCATTTTTCAAGGTATTCGTTCTTTCTTTCGATTGTGCCCTTCACTGCTGCCGTTGCAGTACAGTTGTGTGATTTCCGGGTTGTAAAAAGGGCCTTCTTTATTATGCACCTTTTAGTAGTGACATTTACAGTATTATTATTTTCCACAAATCATAAAAGCTGAAATCCATTGTTCCGGAATAGCAGTCGAAATCGGTTAACTAAAGTCCCCATAAATGCCAACGTTGAAGTGATGCAAAAAGATGCAGGGAGTACTGTGAAAGCAACGGGAGTCTTAATTATTTTGAATTTGTAGATTCGGCATGTACAATGTTCAGCAAATGAATAGCTCATTTTCTTGAATCTAAATTTGGATTAGTGAGTAAAGAAACCATTCAATGCGTACTGACTGGCTGTTTAATACGTGATGATAGTCGAGGAAGGGCATGGTCTTATATGGCATTAATTGGCCTAAATAATCCTGACATGACCGAACTGTTCCTATAATGCAATATCGAACAAAGTATTTGGGTTGGCAACTAAGTCATTGTCGTTTTTGTTGACGGA